CCCGGCGGCTCCTTCCCCTCCCCCCCGCCCCAGTGTGCGGGGGGGGTCCTCTTTCCCCCTCCCCCACGCGTCACCTGCAGTGCCCCGCCCCCCCCGTGAGTCATGCCAGTCGTGCGCTGGGGCTGTTGCGTCACAGCCCCCCCCCGCGTGGGGGGAGGGCAGCAGCGTGGGACCCCCCCTGTGGGGCTCTGGAGCAGCCACAGCTCTTGGGAGCCCTTTGGGGGCAGAGGAGCCCGAGGGTGGGGGGGAGCCCTGGGGCATACGTCTCCAAGTGGGGGTGTGGGAGGGGCCCTGCCCTGGTGAGGGGAAGGAGCAGGGAGCCCAGGCTGTGGAGTGCGAGGCTCTAGAGCAGCACTTCTGACCCTGGGGGCGGGCACGGCCTGCCCTCTGCACCCCCAGGTGCCTCGAGGCCCTTCTGAGAGGGCGGCAGGGTGGCACGTAGCACTGGGTGCTGCAGGGTGATCTGCAATATAAAGCCTGGCGTTGTGGCCTTTCTGCATTCCCTGAAGCACAGCTGCTGCTCCCATTTCTTCTTCTGGCCTCAGAAAAGCAAAAATGAGGATCTGGCCCTTCCCAAGAGAAGCCCCGTGTCTAGCCAGGGGTGCCTCAAGCAATGAGTGAAGGCGAAGAGCTGACTCAAGGCATCCCTAGAAAAACGTCAGTTGTTCGCCTTCACTCGTTCCTTGCCCCCATGGCAAAATAATAAAGCAGTTCTTCTGAAAGACCCCAGCATGTCAGAGTGGTTTTGACACTATGGGTTCCTAGTTAAAATCTCCTGGTTTTTCTTGCGAATCACATGCTATTGTTTGCACACCTAACAGCGCTAATGTTGCACAGCATCCTTACAAGGATCCCACAGCACCCTGGGTGAAAACTGCTGCTCCTAGATGTGGAAGAGGACCACTTACTCATCCAACTGGTTATTTGTTAGAGCAAGGGTGTCCAGGTCATCCTGGACCAAGGTCAGATTCAAACCATAGGATCTGCTTCTGGACTGGCAGAGGTTGGAAGAATTTGGTGGCAGAGCGTCTGGGTGGCTTGGTGTAGGAGTGAAGTGTTTTGGGCCATCTCTATGCCTGCAGCACCTCACTGGCATGAGTGGCATGAGTCAGCAGGATCCATGTCCTAGTTTTTTTGGTGTTGATAAAACATCGGGATGGAAACTGAGCAAATCCCATGGCACCAGCTTCCTTTTTCCCATCTCTAGGTCCAGAGGGAGTATTAAAATACATGAATGCTGGTGAAAGGTACTGGCTTCAGTGTTGGGGGTGAACACTTGTTCGTAGCACCATGGAAGGTTGGTGGTGGGGAGAGGAAGAGGATGTGTCAAACTCAAGTTGGGGAGTTTGGCCAAATTTTGAAAGTCTGTGTTGGGGAAGAGGTTTTAAGGAGACAAAAACTTATGTGCCTATGAAAATCTAGGCTGGGCAGGAACTGACTGGAGATGTTAATTTTTCTAGTTGTTAGAGTAAGCTTTTATCCCTGTCAGCATGTTTGAAACCTGACTTAAGTGTCATTTATTAATCTCTTGCACCATATCTAGTCTCCAGATTACTGACTGAAAATGCCAGCATAACTGCTGCTTAAGGTGGTAGCCTTGTTATCGCACAGATTGGGCTGAGCCCTTTCATTACATAAGAGTTAACATCCTTACTATCTGGGGGTTGTTTATGTCAGTATCACTCTTTACTAGTTTAAAACAGGTGACATAGAAACAAGTTTTCTTATTTCCTTACTAGGCTCCTCCATAGAGGGCTATTCCCCCCCCGCCCCCCCCCCCCTTCAAACATCACTGGTGGTAAAGAAAATTCTGCCACTTATGGAGGGGCCCTACAAAAATCCTGAGGTGCCTTTGTACCCAGCTTCACTGTTGCCTTTTTAGTAGCAGTTGAGTAACAGTCTGATTCCAGAAAGGTGCTGATGTGAGTATTAGCAGGGATGTAACTGGAAAGAAAATGTATCCATGTTCATTCTAGCTTAGTTTAAAGAGAAAAGAAACATGATGGACTGGATCATGGTTACTAATAAATATGAAAGGATATGGTTATAGGGAGAAAGCAGTAATCCCTTTCTCATTCTGAAAGAGTGCTCTCAAGAATAGAGTGGTGTCTTAATGGGATCTTATTAAGATCAGTCCCAGTTCAGTCTTATTTATGGAACTTGATGACTCCATTACAGTCTAAACTCTTCTCTGCAGCGTTGAATTTTCAACAGCATCTGACAAATGTCTTTCAAAACCTTACAGCAAGAGTTAGATTAGTGTTTCATGCCAAAAAAAGGTGGAGGGGTAGGGGCAATGCTATTTTGAGCTGATATTTGTAATTTAGGGTAAGCTATTTCTTAGAGGTTTAGATGTATGTTTTTTGTTGTTGTTTTTTTTTTTTCAGTGATTCCTTTTTAAAACTGGCAGTTCTTGAAGGTTGGTGAAGCACAGAAAAATGGCATCTGAAGACATTACTAAGTTAGTAGAGTCGCTTGCAAAAACCAAGGTGGGCGGAGGGCAGCTGAGCTTCAAGGGCCAGTCTCTGAAACTCAACACTGCAGAAGATGGTAAGAGGAAATGTGCTGTGGAAGTGTTTCTTTGGGCTCCTGCACTACTGTTATCCCAAATCTGTGCTTCATAGTGCACCCCCTTCCAGCAAACCCTGCATAATAGAGCACAAGGGTCAGCCACCTGGGAAACAATAAGCAATTCCCTCCCCTTTTTTTTCCTGCAAACTGCCTCCAGTTTTGGTACTGGTGCTTCAGCCAAGGGACACTGTCTTTGACTCCCTAGTCTATAGATACTAGAGGTGCACTGATATCTAGGTCCATATTGTATTCACACCGATAAAAGGAAAATTTACACTATTGGCAACTGGCTTTTTTGGCTGATGTGGCTGATAATGTCGCTGATAAATGTCACATGAATGTGCATAGCTGCAGCATGCATGCAGCTGGGAGTGCAGCCCAGCAGTGTGGAGGGCAGCATCTGACCAGCAAGTCTGTGGGGGGCAAGAGGCATGGGGGAGGGAAGGGGTGTGGGGGGCAGATTGAGGACCCTGCGGTGAAGGAGGCAGTGGGAATAGGCAGGTGCTGCCCAGCTGAGGCAGCACAGGGCATGGGACAGCTGGTGGCTTGTCTGGAGGGCATGGGGTGGGGGGGCTCCCGCTACTGCGTGCACTCCCAGGGGAGGCATGGGAGGCACCACCTAGATCTGTGCAGGGTGTGAAGGTAAGCCACCACTGTGCAGTTGGGGCCGGGGCTGCTCCAGCCTCTTCCCAGTGGCTGCGCTTGGGCTGGGCTGGGCAGGGTAGGTGGTGGAGGTGCTGGGAAGGGGGACTACAGGGGGGCTAGAGCCACCCCAAAATTTGCTGTAGCCCCCCCCAGTGCAGCTGCTGCCTGCCCTGACCAGCCTAGCCTGAGGGAAGAGGCTGAAGCAGTCCCAGGCCTGAACAGGCAGCCTGCTCTCACCGAATGCACAGATCCAGGGGGGTGCGTGCCCCCCCATGCTTTCCCTGGGGATGCATGTAGTGGTGAGAATTTCCCCCCCACGCCCCTTTCCCCCAGCAGACCTACCAGCTTGGAGAGCAGCGTCTGGCTGCTGGGCTGCTTATTGCAATTGGATCGGTATCAGCCGATATGGCTGGTCAATAATCAGCCATTGGCATCTACCCAGAAAATGTTTATCGGTACACCCCTAGTACATACTACTTGTCTTCTGTCTTGAGAATTGGCTTTTTAATGCTTTTCCTAATGCATTGTGTCACCTTAAGTTGCTACAGGAAACATTCCTTTAAAAACTTTAAGAAGTCTAACAACTTGGTGTGCTTGACATCCTTTGGTATTGAGACAGGAGGAAGGGCTATGTCTGCTTCTGTTTCCATAACCCTTTCTTTTTTCCTAAAGAGAGACTTGGTTCCTAACTCAAGTCCTAGACCTGCAAAGTTGCCTTATTTGCCTCTTTCCTTCCCTCTTTCTGTTAAGGCAAAGCAGTGTTTTGTGGTGCATGTGGAAGCAGCAATGGGTGGTAAGATAAATCCAGGAAGCACGCAGTAATTTTGATCTGTGGTACATATCTGAAAAGAAGGTGCTTTTAAACCCCTGTCTGATTCTTCATTGCCATGGCAATGCTTGCTTTTTAACCCCTCCTTGGTAGTGCAAAACCATGGGCAAAGGATTCAGAAGATGAAAACAATGACTAACAATGGGAGAAAAACTTCTCCAGCCTGTCCTTATATGAAATCTAATGTGACTTAGCATGGAAGTGGGTGAGTGAGGCTCTGTGTGCTCTGTGCAGCTGAAGTGGTGATCAAGCAAATTGAGGAATTTGATGGCTTGGAAGCACTGCGCCTGGAAGGCAACACAGTGGGTGTGGAGGCTGCAAAGGTCATTTCCAAAGCCCTGGAGAAGAAGTCAGAACTCAAGGTGAGTTCCACAAACAAGGGTAAGATATAATGCTGAGATAATTGAGGCTTGTCTGTCTATACTGCTTCAGTGACCTGTTAAGGGTCAGTCCTCAGAAATGAACTTTGGATTCCTTGTTTGCCAATAGGTAGAATAGATTTGTGCAATAGGCTACCTTGCGTTTGCCACGTAACTTTCTTAGCACTTTTATACATTCCAACATCTGATCCTCGCCATTAAACAGTGCCCCAGCCTTGAGAGAAGAAAGCCATGGGAGGAGATTATCATAAAGGGGTGCCTCTGTGGCTACTTTTAAGGATGTGGGACTTGTAGCGTAAGTTGCCTTGGATCTTGTCTGGGTAGGAATCCTCAAACAAAGTCCAGAATGCTGCATGAGACTGGGAGATTCTCCAAGAGGTTCTCTACCCCCAAGTTCTCTTTTTTTACCAGTACTCTGGTGTTCAGGTGGATGGTGGCTGTGCTGCATCACTATAGATGCCATCTTCTGGATGCAACCAATATGAGGTCTTGATCATCTGCAATCACCACAGTATGTAATGGCCCTTTTTATAAGTGTAGCATGTTGGGTCCCTCCACCCATGATTAAACTCCCATGCTACAACCATGCATTTTCTACATTGGCTTCCACTGGGTATGGTAATGTTTACATATTCTAAAATCTTCTGTTTTGTCACTGTGTACTATTAAGCAGCTGATGAATTCCCCTCCAGAAATGGATACATATTCTTTGCAAATGAAGTGGTAGATACACAGGCTGTGTAGTTCCTTGTCATAACTGAATAGCAAATGCAAGGGAAGAGTGTATTATCATGTCACCTGTAGCTTGTTGCAACTGGTGATTTGGGGACCTGTGTATTATTGCTCTCTTCTGACTCTCTTTAAGGATTATATTTCTATTTGTATGTTGCTTTCTTACAGAAGTGTCATTGGAGTGACATGTTCACAGGGAGACTAAGATCTGAGATCCCTCCTGCTCTGGTAAGTGGAGGAACTGGGTATCCAGGCCTTAATCCTTTTCTTATTACTTCCTCTTTCCTTTCATGTTTGTATTCTGTGCCCTTTCGTTGGACCCACATGCTATCTGAGACCCAAATAAAGACCGACCTAAAAATGATGATAAAGCTTGAGCATCTTGTGGCTGGTGGGTTTCTCTCCCTCCAAGATGATGAGACGGAGAAGAACTAGCATGTGTATTTCCATCTGATTTAATCACTGATGCAGCTTCTTCTCAAAACAGGAACAGCAACGTGGCCACCTGAGAAGTAGGGTGGGAGTTGGAACAAGTCTTTGAAAATAAAAGGATGCATTTGTGAGCAGGAACATCCTGGGTCACTGCTCAGAAGGTTCATCAGGGGGCTTCTGTATTTTTAAGACTAGAAAAAAAAATAGCTGCTGCTCTCAGCAGTATTGAGGGTTAAGGTCACCTGATACGTGTCTGGCTGTTTTGACCTAAGAGGGCTGGATAACTTTATGGTAACTAATTCTTAGAGCTGTATAAAATGAGCTAAAGGTAATAATCTCAAGCTTTCATAGATGGGGGAATAAGTCAACTGCTTGTAGTGATCAGAAAGTATTCCCTTTTTCCCCCATGTAGTATTGCATACCAACTGCATAATAGACATTCTACCGGATGTTTTGGAGGGGTGGATTTGGTGGATCTCTGGAGCTATTACTAAAAATTGAATCTTTTTCTCCCCCTCCCCCCCAAAAGATCTCCTTAGGGGATGCACTTATTTCTGCTGGTACCCAGCTGGTGGAGCTGGACCTGAGTGACAATGCTTTTGGGCCAGATGGTGTGCGTGGCTTTGAGACACTGCTGAAAAGTCCTGCCTGTTTCACCTTGCAGGAACTCAAGTTGAATAACTGTGGCATGGGCATTGGAGGTGGCAAGGTAAACCCTAAACTTGCTTACTGAGCATGCCATAAAGATTGGGGCAGGTTGTAGGGGTTTGGGTTGGCTTGTAGCTTTCCCCATGTCTTACCTTAATTGCCATCAGACTTCAGGTGATGATCCAAAGTGAGCAGAGTTTGGCTATTCCAATACTGGGTGGTTGATTCCCACCCCGACCCCCCTGCCTCTGAGCAAAAGAACTAGTAATGTTGGTGACTTAGTTCTCTTGAAACTGAAACCCCCAACATGGTATTAGAGGAGGCTATTGTTTGTTTTGTGCTTCATTGAAAGAATGATCTGTCATGGTTGCTAAATGTCCTATGCATAAGATCATTGTGAAACCCATGGCTGTTTATTGAGGCTTATGCTTAAGCAGCACAACGAGATTATTGCACTCAGGTGACATAATTCCCTCTTAGTTCAATTTAACTAATGCTAATATTGTGTAATGTTTCTGTATCGCATGTCAGAAGCAGATGCCTTTCACTAGTGATCTAAATGTTTCTTGTTCATGAAACACTTCTGGTATCCTCCAGGAGATGAAATGCTAGAGTAATGTAAAGCTGTTGACACTGTCTTAGATCTTGGCTGCTGCCCTGAAAGAATGTCACAGGAAATCAAGTGCTCAGGGCAAACCTCTGGCTTTGAAAATATTTGTGGCTGGAAGGAATCGTTTGGAGAATGATGGAGCCACTGCACTGGCTGAGGCTTTTGGGGTAAGTGCCAAAGCAGACCTGACCTAAAGTGAAAATGTGTTGGGCTTTGATGGTGAAAGTACTCATAAGTCCAGGTGAACAATGACTGAATGTCATTTTGGACAGAAAGGTCACACAGTAGTTACCTCTCATCTGAGACCTGCCCAAAAAGTGGTGCTCAAATGTACCCATTTATATTCTATCTGTTTTCAGCAAATAGAGTATTGGAAGTTTCTGTGCCCTTCCTACATTGGTTTTTATTAACCTCTTACACTTTGATCAAAACAAAAGTTATCCCAAATGCACCAAACAAATAGCTTGTTAGTGCTAATTACTCCCAAGTACAAAGTACCTGTTTTGAATATTAGCCATCCCTTGACTATCACTTTAAAGGCAAAGGTAAGCTGAAACAGCAGTACCAACTTAGCATATGTGAAAGGTATACTAGGGGTATGGCTTTCACTTACAAGTGTCTTCCTGGAACACGTGTATTTAAGCCAAAGCTCTGATTAACAGGACCTTCTGAGTCTTGGAGCATCCTTCGCAGGTGGGTGGGTATGTTAAATGCATGTCTTTTTAGCAGGGATGCAGGATTTATTAAAATCTAATGTCAGAGAAACCTGTGTATAGGTCACACCACAGACAATGCTGGCCTTTGGTTCTTCTTGGCTACACAAGTATGTATGTTCCTAAAGCAGTCAATTTTAAGGATGTTAGTGCTGAAAGGAGTAACTTCTTCATAGAAGGAGACATAACTAGGAATAATGAGTTTATAAAGTGAGAGCATAACTTGTTTCCATGTTATGTTTTCTAATGAGAGAGTTATTTGAACTTGGACTACAACAGGTCAGAATGTTTTTAATGCAATAGATTCCTGTTTGAAATCTTTGGGCTTATCTTATGAATCATGTTTGCATCCCTAACAGTGCCTGTGTTTGTGTGGCACCCCAGAGCACGCTTGAAAGGATCTCAAGGAACCTCAGGATGCCACAGTATCTTGGTTGAGAATTGGTAGTCTATATACCATGCAGTATTTGAGTGTTCCAAGAATGCAGAACAACTTGGCACAGTATAGAAGTTTAAAATTTGGCCTGCAATCTCTAAAATTAGTGTGTTCTTTTCACATAGTAAGAGTAGGATTTGTATATACAAGATTCTTCTGACTTTCATGCTATAGTACATAGGCTCCTTAAAGGAGTGCTTTAATGTGCTCTGTACACAAACCAAATTGTAGCCAGTCAGTCCCACTTCAGAGGGTTTCCTGTGAAGCCATCAGAGCAAGAAGCAGAACTTAAGAGGAAATTAACTTGCACCCGATGATGTAACAGCCCAGAAGTGAACCGAGTGACATGATCAAGGGTGAGAATTATTGTTCTGAGATATCTAGATCAGAAAGATGGTGACACCCTAAGAGGAAGCCAGGTCTGACTATGCACATTAACATGTTAATTAGTCTTGAACTGCCATTGGAAGCATAATTTGAAATGTAAAGGGATGCACTTGCAGCATTTAGCAGGATTGCAGGGAGCAAGTGATGTTTTGCAAGTCTGAATGGGTTCTCGGGGTGGGTTCTGATATGAGAGAGAGCTGACTTGTGTGACAGGAAGGCAACTTGTGGGCTAATCCTGGGAGGGTGGTAGTGATTTCTACTGAAGCTGAAGTTTTATATCTTCTCTCATCTTCACATTGTTCCAGATAATTGGGACCCTGGAAGAGGTTCATATGCCACAGAATGGAATCAACCATCCTGGCATCACAGCATTGGCCCAGGCCTTTGCTATAAACCCATTGCTGAAGATTATCAACTTAAATGACAACACCTTCACAGAGAAGGGAGCTTTGGCCATGGCAGAAGTGAGTTACTCTAAATAAATATTTGTCTTGGGTGTCTTTTGCTTCTGACTTCCTACCTTCCTGTATGTAAACAATGACAGCCACTTCTTGGTGGCCTGGGGTCTGATGTCATGGTGAAGTACAGTGAGAGAAGATGCTGTTTCCTGTTTGAGTAGTGTGAGCGGATGCTTGCTTTTACCCATCACACACTCCACTCTGATATGCATGTGCGCGGTCCACTTCTTAGACTCTGAAGACTCTCCGGCAGGTAGAAGTGATCAACTTTGGAGACTGCCTGGTGCGCTCGAAGGGTGCCATTGCTATTGCTGAAGCTGTCAAAGAAGGGCTCCATAAATTAAAGGTACCACCTTCTGTTACTCCACCTTAAGTTCTCTTCCCCAGACAACATGTCTTCCTCTTAGTGTTATTCCACAAACTATTGGACAGAACTGAAGTTCTCCTTCAGTAATGCTGGAAGAAACAATCAATCTGTTTTGGTCCACTTTTCTGTCTCCCTACAACTGTGAACCATTTATTGGGAATGTTCTTGGGGATCTGTTGACTGATTGTAGCTCATTGTTGGGGGGATGACAGCTGTCAGTTAAGTAATTTCTTGGCCAGTGAGTATTACTTGTTCCTTCCTGTTGACCACATTCCCTAGTAGAAATTACTCTATGTACTCGCAAAGAAAATTGTCTGTTACTTTGCACCTTCTGACTATAGATAGCCACAGTGAAAACTGAGGCATCAGTCAAATAGCTTCCACCATCAATAAAAATGATCACTCTATAGAGAAAAGAACTTTTCCAAAAATATGGGTATGGTGCAGGCATTGTAGGGTATATGGACAGCAAAGGCTTGTTGCCAAATATCTGACTAGATGAGCAAAATGTTCCCTTCTGGCCTTAAATATGAATGAATCTTTGTAATATTTGCATCTTTGCTAATTTGTAAGGAATGAAAGAGCCAGTCTCCAGAAAGACCCAATGCTTGTGAAAATGATAAGCCTTCAAAGTCAGCAAGCAAAGACATAAAAGCAAAAATCCATTTGTTCCTATACTGGCAAGAAGTTTCTCTGATTCCTGCATATGAAATTTCAAGGTCATTTTAAATTAAATGGTCTTAGTCCTGAGAACATCCCATTAGGATCTAATCTCTTTCCAGCATGCTCTATTATTGGGCAAGTTTGATGCTTACAGAATCTCTAAGGTGTCTCTTGCTTCTCAGGAACTGAACTTGTCCTTCTGTGAAATCAAACGAGATGCTGCCCTAGCTATTGCAGAGGCTACTGAAGACAAGTCAGAGTTGGAGAAACTGGATCTTAACGGTATGCAAGTGGTGAAGTTGAGAAGAATCCTACAGGACTGAAACACTATTTACCTGAATCAAAGATGACTTTAAGATCATTCCCCTAATAATTAGAACCCATATGTGGAGAATTTATAACATTTTTGTTATTATCTTCCACATATAGATTGTAACTATTAGAGGGGTCTCTCTATCTTTTTATTTGTCTTCCTCTTTCTCATCCCCAGCCACTATAGTGGACTGGGGGGGTGGGAGGAGGAGAGGTAGCAGGTGAGTCAAGTGGCCTGACCCCTGCCCTTTGCCCCCCCTCATCCTTGTGTTGGGTGTCTGTGTCCCCATGCCACTTGCTTCCTCTTCCACCCACCTGCCCATTACCACTTACCTCCAGTCATGGGTCCAACCCAGGGCACAGAGCACATGTTGGCGCTGGGCCCTGCCTGGCCAGGCAGCTGTGGTTACAGCAATGACAGCAGCAGCTCCTGCTCCAACCTGGTCCTGGGACTGCCTTTATGGGGTAACAGTGGCTCTGGTTCCAACCCCAACCATGGGTTGGGGCCATTGCTACAGCTGACTCTCTCCTTTTTTTAACTTTTTATATTATTATTTGAATCCAAGATAATGGGCTCTCCCCATGTTTAATGGTGGAAGGGTAGGGAAAAAAATGTTGCCCTAAATGTTTATTCAAATCCATGGTACTACCAAAGGATTTGAAGTGATGAGAAGTGATTCCCTTATGTCAGAACCACCTGAAAACCCATTCAGACTTGCAAAGCATCACTTCCTGGGGTGCAAACTACTACTAAAACTGGGCTGTCCAACTCATAGGCCGCATAAGTCTCCTGAAGGGTTAACATTTGAGCCCCCAGGCTCCCATCCCAGTCTGGGTGCTGCTTCTCTCACTGTTCCAGACGTCACTGCTGGTGTCTCTGGGCTTCTCCATCCCTTCTTTGGTTCCCACTGCCTTTCCTTACCCCTTGGGGGTGGGGCCAAGGGAGCCTGCATTTGGGTGGTTCAAGATGACCCATGGACCTTGCACGATGCAGGGCAGGGGTGTGGCACAGTATAGTGGGAGCAGTTCCCTTTGTACATGTTGGGAGTGTGTGGCATGCAGGCACATGATTAAAATACAGTGAGGGAGGAGGGTGCCATCCACAGCGTTTTGAGGGTGCATGCGGTTCAGTGTGGCATACAGCTGTGCCAC